CAGTAGAACAGCAACGACAAAAATAAAAATAAAAAACTAACTATTTTTGGTTTTTAAAATGTTTAATTTTTGGGGGGATTTGTACTTTTCAGTTTTTTTTTTTTTTAAACTTTAAACTTTTTAAAACATATTGTAGGGTCTCTCCAAATGCGATAGCCAGTTTCCTGATCATCTTTCGAGACCCTGTATAATTATATACCCTGAACTGTGCCGTGCTGTACCCTATACTAATGCTCCCCTAGTGTGTGGTAGGGACAGAAGCAGTCCTTGAGGCAAAGACCAGGTTAGTCAGGACAGGAGGAACAAAAAAAAAAAAAAAAAGGCGGGTGTCTAGCCTGATTCCATGTCTGCCACAGACACATCTTTTGGGGTCCCTTTTGGGATAGGGTACCAGCAATGGCATTGGGAAAATGCCCCTCATGCAGCCGGCTAACTGCATCTGGGTTGGGGGTTTGAGCCACAGCACCTTCTGGATACAAAAGGGATGTGATGATCTCTTCCAGGAATTTTAGGAAGGATCCACTTCGTCCAGTTACTTTGTAAAGCACAAAAGCTTTATATAGAGCCAATTGAAATAAACACTTTTTTGTACCAGCATCTGGTTTTTCGGGAAACTAAGTACGGCTTCATCATCTAGTCATTGAAGTCCACGCCTCCCATGTTAAGGTTATAGTCATGGACACAGAGGGGCTTCTCAACAACACCAGCTGCCATAGTAATTTGGATGGTCGTATCTGTGTGAATGGAAGACAGGACGAAAACATCCCGTTTCTCCTTCCACTTCACTGTAAGCAATTCCTCATTTCTCAAGCAGACTTTTTCCCCCCTTTCTAAGACGGGTATTTACAAGCCATGGGGGAAGCCCCGGCGATTAGGTTGCACGGTGCCACAAGCGCCAATACCAAGATTGTACAAATGTCTAAATAGTGATACGCTTGAATAAAAATTGTCCATTTATAAGTGGTACCAAATATGGAAAAAGGATGACACCAAGTCCCAAACTATCTTGCCACTGCTCCCCATGTAGTCTAGGCATCTGGCGGGATCCCTCGTAAATCCGAAACTTCTATGTATAGCCTGTTGCCCTCTCACAGGTCTTATACTTCTTGACCCCATATCTGGCACGCTTGCTGGGGAAAAATTGCTTGAATGCAAGGCGGCCAGAAAAATTAATGAGGGACTAATGAACGCAGATGTTTTGCTGGGGAGTATAGACATCTGCAAATTTCTGGTTAAGGTGATTTACAAGGGGTCGAATTTTGTGGAGCCGGTCAAATTCAAGGTCAGCCCAAGGACGACAGAGTGTGTTGTCATTGAAATGCATGAAACGCATTATATTCTCATATCTATTCCTGGCCATAGCAGCAGAGAACAGGGGCATATGATGAATTGGGTCTGTGGACCAATACAACCGCAACTGATTTTTTTGTAGTAATGCCCATATTGAGGGTTAGGCCCCAAAAAAATTTAAATTTGGAAATCGTAATGGGTTTCCATGATGATGATCTGGCAAGGTTTGAATTTGGGTTGGTGGCGATAAACTATTGTGCATATAAATTGATCCACAATAAATGCATACAAATCTTCTGTGACAAACAACTCCAAAAAATCAAGGGGAGTGTTTAAATTTGCTGTTTCCACCTGAATTCCGGGTTGGGCAGTGAATGGGGGAGGCACAGGTGCTGCAGAATTTGTGGGCTGCCAATCGGTATTTGCAAGCACGTCCGGAAGGGGGCTCTACGGGTCTGTGTGCAAATTCTTGGTGGCTGCGGGACACTACTTGTGCTCATCACAGCACCAGCTTGTACTGCACTTATGGGACTCACTACGTCATCAAGCGATACTGCAGTGCTGGTATAAAAAAAAGACCAGGATGTACTAAGCCCTGGTGCTGGCCAGTTCACCAAAAGGTAGAGTGGCACTAGTATTGGCACTCTGCTGCATATGAGAGTCATCATGCATTAGTAACATCTTGGCAACCTGGGAACAGGGTTGGGTACGCCTGATCTTAGAAGGGACCTCTTCTCCATTCTCTGAGCTGTTAGGGTGCCGCTACTGTCTACAGGTTCATATTCTTAGGCTGATTGTGTCAGGGAGTCTTTCCCTTTGCTCTCACATGACATGCTCAGAATCCTGTAGGCCTCTTCACCAGTGCACCTTTCGTTGGACATTCTGGCCACTAAATTTATAAGTGCCTAGTGCGACTTATGGGAAGAAGAGCACCTGGCTATCAGGGACTGCTTGAACCGCTATAAAACAATTACCGTCAAGTGCTAGCAAAGATCAGGCCTGATTCTACGAACCCTGCGGTTTTGTGTGCAATGTATCAAGTGACAGTGGAACTACTAACACTGCACTTGCTGGGGGAGAAGGGGGGGGGTGTAAGCGCTAGGGGCTAAACGCAAGTGCTGGCAGGTGTTGGGGCTGATCCCGCTGCGTTTTTGTGGACACTATACTAATGTGAACATTGGTATAGTTCTGATCTGATCAAAGATATTGATCCGTTCAGACACTATACTAGCAATGGAGTAGTATTGTGTATGTGAGTGTGTTCACTAATACATTGATCAGTAAAAAATCTGTACACTGTACTAATGACACTGGTGACAGGGCAGTGAAGGTGTTAACTAGGGGGGGCTCCATCAAGGGGTTGAACGTGTCCTAGAGTGTGCTAACTGTAATTGTGTAGTGCTTTTACTCAGTTATGTTGATTCTTCTATCTCTGGGATGGAAGGTGCGCAGAGAGAGAAGATTTAATCACTTCCTGTACCTGTGTAGCTGTCAACACAAGACAGGATAGGACAGGGTTCGATCATCCGACTTGGGCCGAACATCACTGGCGTAAATCGGATGAATGATCCCTCGGGGATCAATTCACGGCTTCGGCGGGGGCTTCAGAGAACTGAAATTACACAGTGAGGATAGCTTTGATGGCTGACTGGAGGGAATGCACACACTCCCCTTCACACAGTTACTTTTGACAAGGAAAGCTTGTCAGAAGTGACTCATACCAGAGGCACAAAGCAGCAGACAGAAAACACAGTAACTGCTCTTGATACAAGTACACACTATAGAGAAATATGCTTTGTTCATATTTCATGTCTGAACAGCTGTGTTCAATCACATATATGGGGGGGGGGGGGGGGGGGAACGACTCATTCTCCAAAACACAGAAAAGCATTTTCAGTTTGACCAATTTTGGTGGTATGTAAAATTTGTAAAGTTGATTTCTCAATTCTTGGACCATAAACAATATGTATAAAGGTTTAACTATCGATATATATTGTTTTGGAGCAGTATCCATTCCCTAAGGAAGAATCTGCACTAAAGTATTTGAAACGCTTTGGATTTAGGCTGAATGCACTTGTAGTTCCCTCAATTGAGGTTGCAAGATGGAAATCAGCTTCAAGGGATACCGCTAACTTTCCAATGCAATAATTGCAAATATGTGGTCAAGAATTGTTATATTCTATTGGTGAAATATGTATAGATGAATCAAATAAAATATCAAATCGTTTTTTTTTTTTTTAAATTGTTTGGTCTATATGTATTCTAAGGTTGCCTTAAAAATGTAAGGTCCAAATCTCTCTAATTAAAAAATAGGGATGATGGCAACCACACCCCTAGGTTACACGGGATGACTTTACTACTAGACTCTTGTTTGGACAGATTTAAGTGAGTTATTCCTAAGAATTACAGGCCTACAATATAAAACAACAAATTTCCATGCAAAACAACGTACAGCTTTGACATTCAAACATATTGACATAATCAGACCGCTAGGTTAAATGGCTAAGCTCACCCTAAAAAAAAAAAAAAAAAAAAAAAAAAAAAAAAAAAAAAAAAAAGCCAGAGGTTAATAAATGCCAACAAAAGAAAGCTCTGCCCCCCCCCCCCCCCCCAAAAAAAAAACATTATACATTTAATTTGAGTACAGTATTTCATGTTCAAATATTTCACTGTCAAGCTATCCCAGCAATGAAAACCACCCAGGACAGGAAGGGATTGTGACATACTGGTTCTGAAGTGGTTAAAGAGATAAAACATGAGGAAATGTGCATATATTGCAAGGATGCACTGCATTACTTCATGTTTCTTTTATTTTTTCTTGACATACACATTCATCTCATTGGCTGTGCTTAAGCTTTAAGAATTTTCAGTAAGAATACCTCCAACTCTGCAAACATGCAACACTTGGGAGAATAAAGGTGTCAGTATCCCAGGTTATGCTGGGTGTCATTTGCTTGTTGGCTGGGTGGGGCAGGTGACCGAAATTGATAGGTACCCACTCTCTCACTTCTGCTGCAATTGCCTAGGCAATCGGAAACAGAACTTGTCCTCCCCCTCTTCCTCCCAGTAGTTTTCTGGGACATGTGACAGGTCCCGGAACACTACAGGACCATTCAGAAAGCGCAATGCTTCTCACGCATACGCAGTGGGCATCCAGCTGTGAAGCCACAAGCTGTCAACAACCAGGTGCCCACATTGAAGATGCCGACACCGGGAACACAGGGCGGCCGACTAAACAGGCTGTGGGGAGGACACAGAGTGATTGAGCAACAGGTGAGTGGCAGTTTTTTTAAAAGTCAGCAGCTGCAGTTTTTGTAGCTGCTGACTTATTTTTTTACATTTGCACTGGAACTCCACTTTAAGATCTTTTATCAAGCGTCCCTGTCCAAAGCAGGGGTATTCAATGGCAGGGGGGTTCTGCTCACTTTTTTTTTTCTTTTTTTTACAATTAGCCACAGGAGTAGTTTTAACAGAGGCATATATTTTTGAACACAAGGCTGAAGAGCATCATGTAAATAGAGTGCATTTTGAAGTCATTTAAAACTATACAGAGATGTGAGTTAAGTGCTGGACGTAGCGTTAAACCATTTATAAAGCTATAACAGCAACTATCAAGCATTAAGACTCACAGCAGGCTGTTAGGTAATGCATTGTCAAAATGTACATTTATATTTTAGATAGATTAATTAAGCCTTTCAGTGTCAACTTACTTGTGAAACGCCTGGCAGCCCCTGGGTGGTAGACTCTGTAGGTGCAGGAACTCCTAATCTTTGAGCAAGGAGAGAAACTTGTTGTCTATGGAAAAGTAAGGTGGAGGGAAAAAAAAAAAAAAAAAGATTAAGTATAGACAAACTCAACAGTAACAAAAAATAAGCACATCATAAATGGGTAGCAATCTCATCACCCTTAATCAGTTTAACCCCTTCCCGCCAACAGTATACAGATATGCAGCCTCACAAAAGTGAGTCTTTATCCGTGAGGCCGCATTTATGCGTAACTGTCTTTGTGCTAGGGGCACGCCACACAGTGTTCTCCCAGCACTGAGACCAGGCTCTCACCGAGAGTCTCAGGTCTTGTATTAATGATAGGGACCCTGGACCCCTGGTTCCCAATCACCGTGATAGCTTCTGGTCGGCTATCACAGTGATCAGTTACTGTGCAGCCCACCCATATGTCTTCTCCTTCTTTTGAATGTTGAGTAAGATGTAAACAAACAAAAAGTGTCTAAAGAGAAAAAAAATAGCTAGTTCAAGGTTTGATCGAGGTCAGTGTCAAAGCTAGTGTTAAGGCCACGGTAAGCGTCACCAGTCTGGGTCAAAGGTCAGGGTGAGTATATTTTGGGTAGGATTTTGTTTTTGTTTTTAAAAAGCATTTTTTAAATTTCGTATGTGCCAGTGTGTTTTAGGTACAACAGGAAAAATTTAAAATGTGCACTATTGTTTCTGGGCCATACTAGGACTACAAACAACATACACATACAAGAAATCGCTGCAAAGTTAGAACATTTAATTTTGGGTTGTTCTTTGGTGGTAAGCTAAACCAAATCAAATGAATAAATAGGGGGGGTTGGCCTATTTTGGCCAACGTTTTTGTTTTTGATGAAAAGGAAAACACAGGAGATATTCATTAGCATTTACAACAAACAAGAAAGCCCCCAAAAAAAGGTATAATCCACCAGGATACACAAAGTAGATGCGTTGATATGTACAGTTTGATATGTACAGTTTTACTAACGCATGTCAAAGTTGCAAAATTGTGTTAAGGCATTAATCGTTTTACCATCAGTGTCTAAGGGGTTAAAGACAACCTGTCACAAGAAAAATATGGAGACAAAACAATCCTACCTCCAAGGACACTAAGCTATTTCCAAACCCATGCCCTTCTGCATAAAGTAGAAATAGTGTCAAAATGAAATTGCTTATGATCAGGCATGCTACCGTAGAAAAAAATTATTTTTTAGTTATTTATTTTTACTGCTTGGGTGCAACTGTTTATTTTTAACACTATCACAAGCAAGCTAAGGACAGGTTATTCCCGGCCCTTCACTGAAGCTAATGAAACACAGATAGCGCTCTATTACCTTCTTTCCCAGACACATCAGCCGAGGAAAGCTATGTCTGAAACCAGATATAACTACGCACATTGATTCCAGGTTCCTTCTAGCTAGGGAAGATCTGCAATAAAGAAGTTCCCTGGTCTACCCGAAGACAACTGCCATGCAGGTCCTGGGCCTGCACGTGGGATAGCTGGGGTCGGAATACATTATTATTATAATAATACAGTTTGCGCAGCTCTTTACAAAATGAAGGTAGACATTACAGTTACAATACAATTTGGTACAAGAGGAAACAGAGGGCCCTGCTCGTTAGAGCTTACAATCTAGGAACATGGAGGGGATGGCACTTCTGAGTTCTGTGGAAGTGAATGGGTAGCTGTAGAATTGCTGAATCACTTAATTTAAAGCTGAGAAATTGGCTTGTCAGACGTACAAGCATTCCTGGCTGCTGCAGTAGCCAGAAGGGTGCATAAACCCCCCTGCTACTTCTGATGTAAGCCTTATGTTGGTGGCAGAAAAAGGCTTAGTGAACTCTTAAGCTACAGCCACCTGAAGGATCACACACCCAAAGCAGTCACCTGTAAACTCAATTTGGTAATATGAGTTTGAACAATGCCTGGCCAAAGAGAAAAAAGAACTTGCATGAATAGTGAGCAATGACATCCTAGGGAAAGTATAACATTGTTCATGAGACCAATAGATATGAGGATGCTTCTTACTCCCCAGATGCAGCAATGTGCAAAGTCCATGGTGCAATGGTCAAGAGACTTATCAGGATGGCAAGGAATATTAACCACTTGCCAACAGCGCTACAGCCGAATGACGGCTACAGCATGGTTGTCCAGTTCTGGGAGGGCGTCATATGACATCCTCCCAGAACGTCCCCTTGGCGATCTCCATGATTGCTGTGTCCTACGGACACAGCTGCACACGTGATGTGGTAAAAGGCCAATCACAGAGGCCTTTTACCACGTGATCAGCTGTGTCCAACGACACAGATCACTGGGTAAATGCAGTTGCCGGTTAAAGGGCGTTACCTAACAAGAAAACCCCTTTACATCTTTATCAGCTGCACTTTCCTCACGCTGTGACTGACAATAACCGGCAAGTGTCAGAGGACGGATCGGCACTGATGATCAGTGCCCAGCAGTGCGGTCTCATCAACACAGGTCAGTGAAGGAAAAAAATTACCTGTTTACAAAATTTCATAATAGACACAATGAAAAAAAATTATTTTTTTTTTATTAGTACAAAAAATAAAACATCCAGTAATTGGGCAACTATTAGTGTGCAGAATTATTATGCAACTAAATGAAAAACAAAAATTTTCCCATCTCACTTTATTTTCATCTTTTAAACTGAGAATAGTAAACAAAACTCAAAACAAAAATCTGTGACCAATATAGCCATCCTTTTCAATAACAGTAAAAGCTATTCATGGAGTCAGTCAGTTTATTGATCTGTTGACTTTCAACTTTTTGTGCAGCATCAACCACAGCTTCCCAGACCCTGTTCAGTGAGGTGTACAGTTTTCATTCACCTTAAATCTCCCACTTAAGAAGAGACCACAAGTTTTCAAAAGGGTTTAGGTCAGGAGAGGAAGGGGACCATGTCATTATTTTTTTCATCTTTAAAGCCTTTACTGGCTAGCCATACAGTGAAGTACTTTGATGCATGCGAATGGAGCATTGTCCTGCATAAACGTCATGCTCTCCTTGAAAGATGCATACTTTTTCCTGTACCACTGCTTGAAGAAAGTATCTTCTAAAAACTGGCAGTAGGTTTGAGTCCATCTTCAACCTGGTCCAGCTATCATCTTTAATACCAGCACCCCACCTCCCTCTTGCTGGCGTAGGAGTTGAAGTTAAGCTCTGTGCCCATTACGGATTCAGCCCCGGGCCCATCTATCTGGTCCGTCAAGATTCACTTTCATCTGGTCAGCCCATAAAAACCTTTGAAAAATCTGTCTTCAGATATTTCTTGGCCAAGTCTTGACATTTCAACTTATGTCTTATTCAGTGGAGGTCTGGTTTCAGCCTTCCCTACCTTGGCCATGTCTCTGAGCACTAAACACCTTGTACTTCTGGGCACTCCAGGTAGGATGCAGTTTTGGAATATGACAGCACTGGAGGTTAATGGGTTCCTGGTAGCATCACATTTGATTCTTCTCAAATCTTTGGCAGTTATTCACGTCTTTTTTTTTTTTCCTCAACATGCTTTTTGTGACTATTGACTATTTGCAACAAAACATTTGATGGCTCTGTGATAACACCCCAATATCTTAGCAATTTCAAAGAGTGCTGCGGATCTCTGAAAACCTTTTTTTTTTTTTTTTACAAAATTTGACTTTTCAGACTCTAAATCTTTTTTGGCCCATTTTACCTTAGGAAAAGAAGCTGTCTAATAATTATGCACACCTTGATATAGGGTGTTGATCTGTTTAGGCCACACCCTCCCTTCATTACACAAATACACATAACCGAATATGCTTAAAAACAATAAGCATTCAAGTTTATACAGCTTTGAGTAGGACAATATGTATAAAAATGATGATTTCGTCAAAATACTCTCTTGCCTAATATTTGTGCACAAAATGTAGAGGCGAGGATATCCACATCCGGAGTACCCCATTTTTGGCATATCAGATTGAACACATCTGGATGAAGAGACCATTCCCTATGTCCAATGTGTGGCAGCTGAGATCATCCACCTGCTTCTAGGATGTGGACTGCAGAAATAATTTGACAGTGAATTTCTGTCCTCATGATAATCTGTTGGTTTCCTTCAATTTAGCCAAGTTCCTCATGCCTTCTTGATAGTTGATATATGCCACTATGGTGGCATTATCTGACTGCACCTGAACTAGGTGTTATTTTAGAAGTGGAAAGGTTGGGGGGGGGGGGTCCAGTGCTACAGGGACAATCTGACTACTCTGAGTTCCAAGATGGTCCATTAAGGCCATAATCTGTCCAAGGAATTGCAGCAGATGCAGAAAAATTCTGCTTTTGCCAAGTAGGCTTGGATGCTGAGACAGGTGATAAAACCCGAGCCTTGCTCGAGTGCAAGGGAAGCATCCTCATTCAGAAGTTGAGTGTTGTTTAGATCTTTGGCAGAGCGAAAGAACGCTTGCAATTATGAATTGGCTCCCTTTCGCGTGGTCTCTTCTATTGCTACAAGTGAGGGTATTTGCCTGTGGGGTACTCACAGAGTACAGTGTGGGAGAGAGGGTAAGCATGCCCGAAAGGAGTACGCTGTAACCCAGGATCTTTGATAAATCATCAGAGGAGCACCTGAGTACCTTATAAGAGAGCTAGACAGAACTGTAGTGTGGTTAATGTCTGATCATCCCCCGAGACTGAACACGAAGTGGTTAAATTTTAGCACTAAGTTTAAAAAGTTTTCACTATGAAGTGAATACATTCCAAAACACAGCCACATTTAAACAGTAACTGCCAGAAATACAGGCTGACCCTATCTTACCTGCCAATGAGGTTGAACTGTATGTAATGTCCAGGCTTCACCCATCTCAGTGGGGATACCTTTGAAGGGGTCTTCAGGGATTGTTTCCATAGCTTTGGACTATGGTATTGAACCTGCATTGCCCCCTTTGGCTGACAATACACTGCACCAAGGTGAGTGCTCAAGCAGGTTCCAGTGCTTAAAGCAACATTACACGCTGTCCCCATGTGTTGCTCTGGCATTTTAGGTGATTTTTCTATAGCATACATACAGTACATTT